TCGTCCACGATGGAATCAATCAATTGACTGGGCATGTTCACAGTGTCAGTGAATTTCGACTTGCGCACGATGCTTCGTGTTAAACTTACAACGGGAAGAAGAGGTTATGGTAATGAGTAGCTATTGATTTTTTTTTACTTCCTTTTACGGCATTTGGTGTTTCTAATGTCGTTTGGATGGAGTGCCATCCCTGATTGCGTCTTTCTCCTCGCTGCAGAACAGCTTCTTATCGCTGAAGATCGTCAGGCAAATCGCACATATGTCTTCTCTTCCTTTTCCTATTTCAATCTTTTATCAGTCTCTTTTTTCTCATCTTACTTTCTTCTTCTTCTTCTTCTTCTTCTTCTTCTTCTTCTTCTTCTTCTTCTTCTTCTTTTTCTTCTTCTTCTTCACTTCTGTTTGCTTTTTCTGTCCTCTATTAAGCTCTTATATTTTAATCTTGTTTTCTTTTCCTTCATTTCTTCTTGTCCTCCCTTTTCTTCTTTTCTTTTCTGTCTTCTTTCTTTATTTATTTCTTTCTTTCTTACATCTACACGCTTCATCTTTCTTTCTTCAGCTGTAATTATAACTGTGTGACTGTGCACATGTGTGTGTGTATGTGTGTATGAAGATGTGTGTGTGTGTGTGTGTGTGTGTGAACGCCTGGTTTCTTTATTTCTCTCTTCTACATTTTTGTCTTTGAAATTTGCTTTGAAAAATGAAACACGTTGCAAAAGCAGGACGAAAATGAAAATAAAGTAGTGGAAATGTCATTCTGACCTTCGACTCAGCGTTCAGGTCTCCAACCTCCAACCTTTTTCTCTTCGCATACCTAATTCCTTAAACCCTTCTTTTAGTTTTAATTTTTCTCTCTCTCTCTCTCCCTCACAAACACACACACACACACACACACACACACACACACACACACACACACACACACACACACACACACACACACACAAGCACAAGATGCATTTTCAATCCCTTTCCCCAAACAGCTGCTTCATGAGTACACCCTCTCATATTCCGCACAAAAATAAATACTCGCGTATCTTGTTACATTTTAAGTAACTTATTTATTCTCTAATTATTTAATATTAGAGGAGGTGCTGAAAAGCTTGACCGACTTCCTAATATCAGTGACCAAACCTCATAATACTTATATTGAAAAGTGGGTTGATCTGACAACTTTTCAGCACCCCCTCGTGAGCTTAACACGTGTTTGGACATAGCGCCAGTGAAAGGGTCCCATGAGTCCCCACCAATTCTATGATACGCCCGCAATATAGGTAAGAAAATTCAGCTAAGAAAATTGAAAATAAATACGATGTATCTAAGTACAAATTAGACACATGTCTTAATAGCTCATCCCATCTTAAATAAATCAACGATGTTTGCGGCAATTTTTAACATCAATCTGAGAATTTCCGTTAAAAAGATATTCAGTATTATGCTGAATGTCTTAAATTATAACATAATTTAAAACATTCAGCATTATGACATAATTTAAGACTTTCAGCATTATCAGATAATTTAAGACATTCACACATTATGACATAATTTAAAACATTCAGCATTATGACATAATTTAAGACTTTCAGCATTATCAGATAATTTAAGACATTCACACATTATGACATAATTTAAAACATTCAGCATTATCCTGAATGTCTTAAATACATGTAAAATAGTTTATTTTATATAGTGTTTTTTCGATGCTTAACACGAGCGAAACAAATTCACGGATTTCGACTAAAGACTCCAGAATTACGTCAGAATCCGCAAAAAGTTTTCATCCTTTAATAGGCAGCTGTGCTTAGTTTAATTTGTAAGGCATATAAATGTAGGTAGAAAAAATGTTGATAAGATAGTGAGGGTCACAAAGCACTACCCGGGGCTCTCCTCGGTCGGAGGATTCGGAGGTAGTACGCACCGATTTTGTCTGGACATCAAGCCAGGTATTCCTGCATCGCTGCTTCTGTGCTAGATGGCCGTTAATCCTATAAAAGGATTCACCCGCTAATTGATATCTCTTACTTTTAATCCTATTGTATGTCTTGCTACCCTACTCGTCAGAAAAGCCTGGTGGGAGAACTAGTTTAGTCTCCGACAATCCATAGGTAGTACATAGTACCAGTAGCACATGCATATATATATATATATATAGAGAGAGAGAATTTGACGTATGAGTGTCAAGCAGATCAGTTCCTAGGAACCGACAGCCCGATACCAACACATGTTGATTATAGTGGTGGAGATGCAGAACCAGCGACACTTTTTGAAGTGCCGAATACAAAGATCTGGGGCACTACGTTCCTCAATGTCCCCCTCCGCAGGTTTTGAATTCAGCGTTTTCCTTCTCCTACACCAGTTACCATCCAACGTCCAGGTCTATAGAAACCATAGCTGGAGCGAGAAGACAAGGATTCATACGTTTCCCAAGGGCATTAGCACGTAAGTGAATGTAATGTATTCGACTGTAATTCGAACTCGGCTCTCCGATTCTTCAATCCAAGCCGCTCTCCATTACTCCACAGTGTCTCTTCAATCATCAGGCTATGGATCGCATTTAATCATGAGACGGACTGTCACCCCTAGGTGTTGACTTCAATGTCCACTGATATATATATATATATATATATATATATATATATATATATATATATATATATATATATATATATATATATATATATATATATATATATATATATATATATATATATATATATGTGTGTGTATATATATATATATATATATATATATATAATTCATTACTTCAAACGTTATCTTAGTGGTTACCCGTATTTTAGTAGACACTTCATTTTTTTAAACGGTGTTTATTTCCTCAATTATTAAAGTGTATTTATAGAATGTCAGAAATTTACGGTTTTTATTGGAAATGACGGTGGCCATGTTGAAGATCTCAGGAATAATTCTCTCTGAAAATGTAATAAACTCATTTCACTTGCACTTTCTACAGAAGTTACTTTTATCTTGTGTAGAATTGAATTTATGAATATTTAAAACACTACAAGATTGATGGAATTTTCATTAATAAATTATATATTATTTATTTAGATGCAGCATATGTTACTCATAATTTGCTTATTATTATCAATTAGCGTTTTACTAATTCGTTTTATATATTAATTATTAAATTAAAAATATAATTGTTAATATTTTCTTAATTACCATTTTTTTATATTTTCTAGATTCTTTTTGTGGTGACGTTAGCTTCGACTCGAATAATGCACTTTACTATTAATTATAAATAAATAAGGTTGTAATCCGAGCCACGATTTTTAGTAGGTTGGCTTAGAGAGATTTACACTAATCCTAGGCACCTGAAACGTCCCCTAGATGGCAAATGGTTTAATGTGTGGATTATTTTTGCTCCCTGATACCCTGTACGCGTTGGACACCCACTTTTCCAAGGCCATCTTGCGCATTCGGTTCGAGCGAGATGCCATGGGAACTGGCCTATTTTTGTCATCTGAGCTTTTGTGTGCGTGGGACTTCAAGTTTAGCGTCGGTATTCTTCCACATTTCCTTTGAGTGGGTGCCCAGATTAATCCTGATTTTTAGTGGGTAGCTTTCAGAGAGCGCTAGTGCTAACCCTTTGTACTTTGGCTCTGAAGCGCAAGTGTCGAGGACATTGGACTCTCTTTAATATTCGCGTGCCAGTGAGCCTTCGATTCCTACTTAAATTCGGTCTTCTTCCATATTCCTTCTGAGTGGGCATGCAGATAAATCCCGATTTTTAGTCAGCAGAATTTAAGCTGGGGGTTAATCCCTGGCGCCTGAGATGTCACCTGCAGGGGATGTTTCAAGGATTCTTTGCCTTCAGAACCATGTGCAGGTCGAACTCCCACTTTAAACTCCGCCTTCTTCCATATTTATTTAAAGTGGAAAGTTTTAGAGAGGACCAAGTTTAACACCTGACGCATGCAGCATCCTAGAAGGTGAAACGAGCTTGTTTATTTGTAGTCTCCGCCCCCCCACCCCTGTATACACCGAATTCTCACTTTAAACTCTCATTAATGCCTTATTTCTTTCTTTCGCAAATGTTGTTCTTGTGATAAATGTCCAGATTTTCGAGACAGCTTCCTAGACATTTTTTTCTAAAGTCTATGAATTCTGTAATATTTCAGCTCTTAAGAAATGTCCAGTTACTTCTTACTCTCCGTTCCTAATAATAACCACTGTACCAAATACATTTCCAGATTATTTACATTGTTCGGTCTGTTGTCCTCGTCTTTTTTGCCATATGTGAATAAGACAACAAAGATGAGGTTTATGACAGATGACAGTTTATGTGATTGGGCGTGTGCTCGAAAAGATTGTTTTGTTGACCACTGCCGTTTCATTTTAGTTTGAGACCACTTCGCCAAGCGAGAAATGAAACAGACAATATATGACAAAATCAGTTTTCTATTAATGCGAAACCAATAAACTGTGATTTTCTATTAGGACACTCCAGCATTAAAATTCTCTTTTGTGATCTCAAGCAGACTTGACGCATTTGATATTTGACCGCTATTAACATTGAATACCCGATTCTCTTTGATAATGTAACAGCTGATTGGAAGCCAGTTACTATTAAATCGAGCCAATGTAAGGAATGCATATATAGAATTATATCCTTCGTAGACAGTACTGTTTCGCTGTATCACAGCTCCTCAGTGCGAATAGACATCCGAATACTTCAAGCCCGGATCGAATCCCAACCGATCAATCAGAGTTTCTACCACTGAGCCATCTTCATTCGACAGAGAGAAACAACTAAATCTAGCGTATTGTTTCTGCAAATGTAGACAAATGTCAATCAGCCGGAGTGCTCCAATTCATTTTACTGAAGAGCTTTGCATTAACGCAGGTGACTGTTGTTTATAGAATTAGCTTATCAATCAACAGTGCTAAATTGAAATATATCCGTTAGTCTGTCCGTTACACCGTCTAATGTAGCCATAGATTGACCGATCGAAACCAAATTTTCCAGAGAAGTGCAAACAGGTAGGGGGGTTACTACGGCGCGTAAAAACCGCGAAGTAGGGTTTTTTTGTCAAAGTATTTTTTTTTTCAAAAAAATCAGCAAGTCAGCTTATTTAGATGTCATCGATTGGTTTGCGGAATTGAATGAAACATTGAGTTTGTAAATCACAACAAAAATGTTAGCTTTAATTTCAACAATGTTAAATAATGTCAGGATTTCAACACGCGTTAGTGTGCTGCGAAAAAAATCTAGTTTATGAAATAACGATGATTAGATAATATTAGTTCCCTTCTGTAATTTTTGAAAAACAATAACTGAATGATGATCATCATCATAATATTATATCCTGATCGGTGTACGTTGCAGTAAAAATGAATTGGCAACCATTTACCCCCCACCCCCACTCTTACTTCTATATTGTTATGTCCATGATGAATATTCAGATTTAGCTTCATCAGCTTAGATATTTAACACTTGTACACACTATACTACTTCCACGTAGTCGAATCAACCTCATTTCCCCCTACCCAGTTTTCCAAGCCTTAATAGAGAGTTTCAGAGAGCCAGCTTTTACCCACTGGGCTATTGTGCGGAATTGACTCCCTCATGGATGCTCTCCCGGATATTAAAAACTTCACGTCATGGATCAATCCATATCTAATTGTAAATCTTAACAAAAATCTTTGTGATAACTTCGACAATACCAAATACTGCGAGGATTTCAACGCGTGTCGGCGTGTTTCAAAAAAAATTATACTTCATAAAATTAGAAAAACTTCAAGAGCTATTCAAAAATTGTGCCATCCTGTGAATGACCTATGTAATGAGTAGAAATTTACTGTATTCTAAAAATGCCAAATTTTTGAGGATATACAACCATGATTCTATAGGCTGGAACTTGGTACATGTATTAAGGCCATACACTCATGTGAAAGGCTCCAGTTGATCTTCAGTGTTTCTTTACCCTTGAGTACCAGGAATATATATATATATATATATATATATATATATATATATATATATATATAAAAACCTAAGAGATTATTATCTGATTTCGCCTATCCTGACCCAGATGTTTCAACAAAAACGGGGATCCAATGTCTTTGCTGTATATTTCAATTTCTGGAATATCCATTTTAATCTGTACACATTGCGTGAATGTTTTCATGTCAGAATAGATAAACGCTTCTTAAAGGTCAAGAGTTGAACTGCACCATACCAACGGACTCTGTGCAGTATCCAACGGCACAATACAGTTGACTGTTGAAAACTCTAACTACCCTATTATCCATTGGGAGAGTCCACACCAAGATGTCCTGGATGCGAATCGAACATTACGTTCTAGGCCCGCTGCTAGGAATATTGGATCACTGTGTCGTGCTAAACAACCTTTCTCACCAGAAGCTATCTTGCACGTTCATAAATTTACTATTCGTCCATGCATTGAATATTGTTGCTTTATCTGGTCTGGTGCTTCTGAGTTTAGAGATACTTGATAAAACCTAAAGAAGAATCTGCAATGTTATTCGTCCTGACTTAGCATCTCGGCTTCAATCCTTTTCCCACCGCCGTAGCGTAGCCTCCCTCTGCCTTTTCTATAAATATTTTTCATGGTTATTATTCTAATGAGCTTTCCTCTGCAGTACCTTGACTTTACGAATTTAAGCGCAGTACTAGATTTTACAGTTGGAACTGCTAGATGTTACCGTAAGTTCTATGCTAAGTTTTTCTTCTTTTGCACTTCTCACTTGTGCAACTCTCTTCCGGTTCCTTGGTTTGGTTTGGGTTTTGTTTTATGGCATATCAACCTCAATGGGTTATTTAATGCCGACAAAAAAATTTTATTGCTGGTAATATTTTTTCTTTTAAAAATCTATTTTTGGTAATATTTTTTCATCAAAAATGTATCACTAGTAATAATGTATTACCGGTAATAATTTTTTCTTCAAAAATTTATTGCTGGTAATAATTTTTTTACAAAAAATTAACTATTTGTCCATAGCTTGGACCCTAACAGGTGCTACTACCCCGGGTCAGGGTGAATACCAGCAATTAAGAGGTGGTTCCACGGTCCTCAAAACCTCGTGATCAGAGACCTTGCTTTTGGATGTAGTTTATAGTCATACCCAGGACGGTCCGGTTTCTTGCTTTCACGCTCGACTTTGATTTTCAAAAATTTTAATGCAATGCCAATCGATATCTCCCATCTTTTTAATTCATGTTCTTTTATTGTTTTCTCTCTTTAATAATGTTTTTCTCTTTTTCTCATATCCTTTCACATTCTTGCATTTTAGTGGTTTTATTGCCTTGCTTGGGGTGAAATGATTAATAAAAAATAATACGACGCCACATAAAAGAACTTACGCGCCGATCGGCCGAAACCTCATTTCTTTCGGGATACATACAGCCTGGGACAAGAGGGATATGCCATTGTGTGACGTAGAACGAGTAGAGGACAACCCACATTACCCTGTTGTCCGTCATGTTGATGGGAGACAACCAAACATCTCGCTCAGTGATCTAGCCCCGGCCGGGAGAGGGTTTTCTGCCTTTTGATTCCATAAACGTCGCCAATGATAACATCGCTGATACAATACTCGTAGAACTCTTCGGGTGATTCAAATCAAGAATTGTTGGAAAGTCGAAGTTCAGAAGATTGCGCCATCTCTGCCGTTGACACCAGTTCGACCTCTGCGAAAACCTGATTATCCAACCTGTAACTCTGACGGCTTTCTTTCAGACTCAAAACATCCTATACCTAGAATGTTAAAACATTTTGAGATCAGATGCATTTACTTAAAAACAGACAGACCAAACCAGCGCCAGAACAAGAACTATCAACTTCCAAAGTACAACTTTGCAAGTGATCTGCTCATCAGGATGAATTCGTGAGATTAACTTTCTACTCAAATAATGAACTTTACCAGTAATAATAAATACCGTCGTAATAGCGAGGCGCAATTTTTAAACGGATGGTTTTAGGAATATTTATTAATTAACAAAGCCGTGTTCCAGGACATCGTCTCTGCACGCAGTACCTTTCTGTCTCTAGCGGGCCCGGGTTGATCTCTGACGTTGTCAAATGCCCGTTCGTGCTTTCTTTCATGCGCCCTTTCATTCTCTCTTTTCCTTATTTGCTCTTTCGCGCGCTTGCTCATTCTCTCTTTGTTCACGGCTTCGTCTATTCGTTCATTCACTCGGCCGTTCTTTCTCTTTTCCTTTTCTTTCTATTGCCCGAAATTGATTCATTCACTTTTTTTATCTTTTACTCATTCTTACGCTTTCGCTCACTTTTGCTCTTTCTCTTTTTCTTTCTTTCATTCTTTATTTTTTCAGTCTTTTTTGGATTCTTTCACGCTTTCTTTCTTTCTTTCACTCATTCTTTCTTTCTTTCTTTCACTGTTTCTTGGGTTCTTTCACTCTTTCAGAATTTTTGGGGTTCTTTCACTCTTTTTTTTCTTCCTTTCACTCTTTCTTGGTTTCTTTCATTTCTTTCTTTTTCATTCACACTTTCTTTCTTTTTTCTTTCACTCTTTCTTGGCTTCTTTCACTCTCTCTTTGTCAGTTTGTTTTTATGGATGACGCTAATTTCTTTCTCTTTTCTTAATTAAATCTTTTGCTTCTTTTACTTCTTCGATATATTTTCCTATTCTTCCTTCTTCTTTTTTTCTGTATTTCTTTTTCTTTCTTTTCTTTTCTTTTACCTCCACTTTCAATTATTAAATTCCTTCTTTCCACCGTTTCTTTCCCTTTTTCTTTTCCTGTTTCCAACTAGACTTCTTTTTTTATTCTTCATTATTCTATTTTTTTTCTTTCTTTCCGACTTGACGTCTTTCTTTTTCCATACTTTATTATCGCTTCACGTTTCTCTTCCTTTTTTATCTTTTCTTTTCCAAATATAACCCCCCCCCCCCGCTGCGTTCCATACCTGATTGTTACTACGTATCATATTTACATGCATGATTATATATACGTCATATAAATTAATCCCAGACATTGCCAGTTAGAAGAATATCCATATATTACCAATTGCCAGCTATTTCTAATTATCAGGCGACCGGTCGAAAAGTTCGATCATTTTTTCTCACTCACCAGAAAACATTTCTCGGCCTTGACAAACGAAACCAAAGACGATTCATCAATATTCAAACCGAAAATTGCCCGCACTGTCGTGTTTAGGCGAATCTAATCACAGTAATCCATACTTTGACTCTTTACATTTAATTTCTTTACATTTCAATTACGGTTTAAATGTCAACATTTAGGGGTTTAATGTTTCACTTATTACCATATTTTGCCATAGCCCAGATCCCGAAGAGATTTACGCATCCATCTTGTTTTACTTATGCCTTGATGATAGATCTCTGGGCGCCAGCAAAATTAAAAAATCTGATTTTAATTGGGCTCATTTTAGAATAACCAATGAGCATCTGCCGCGTGTAAAGACAAAAGTATACGAGAATTAACACCTTTAAATATTATTACTTTTACATAATCCGTTTTTTTTTTTTTGTTTTTTTTTTATAATTCCAAACCTAATACGAAATTTAACAAATACTTGACAAGAAAATAACTAAAAAAACAGCAATAAAGAAAAACAAGTAATTTTCCCGCCAAGTAGTAAAAATTGGTGGGAAAGATTCAACGACGATAAATAGGCAGGCAGAAACAAGTGTAACTGTAAAACCAATAATTAATTGGAAATTTCCAAAATAATCAATCAAACCTATACCTTGTCTGAAGTTATTAAGCAAATCATATAAACTTCAGTAATTCAAATTTGGTTTGAAAAAATTGTCAAATTTTAAACAATAAATTTAGATGTCAAAACAAAGCCTAAGTTAATATTTTAGGTAGTGTCAATATGTTTTATTGAATTCATTTGATTTATTTTGAAAAATTGCCATTTGAAGTTATTAGACAAAACCAAATAATCACATTTTACTTAAATAAAAAGGTAATAAAAATCATCAAAAATTAATCAACACCTATAATAGAACAAATAACAAACGCATATGATAAACCTTTGAAACCTTTATATTTTAATATAGTGACCCTTTTTTCTCAATAACAGCCTGTAATCTAGCATTCATTAATTTTGTTATTTTTTTTTTTTTTTTTTACTTCAGCATGTTCAATTTCCGACATGGTAGTTTTAATTGCTTCCCTTACGTTTGCTTTACTTTTATATTGTTTGCCATCTTCATATAATTTTATCAGTTGACCATATATTTCCGATCGGATTCAGATCAGGACTTGATGGTCATCACTAAGTCATATATTTTCATTATATGCCAACGGAAAACAATTTTACTAATAAAATATCAGATTTATTGTTCGAGATTTTAAAAAAATTCTCTTATCTTATATTTAATTTAAAAATATATGCAAAAGTTGCTAATACTACAGAAATATCAACAGCTCACCAATTAATGGCTTCAAATAGTATTACTAATGAAAGGTTAGTGTTCTAGAAAGAGAAAATTCGATTAAGAGATAAAAGAGAATTGGTGATTATATCATTGCGCATGCCAAACGGGTTATCAATTAATGTCTCTGAATATTACTAATGAAACGTCAGTCGAGGTAGTGTTCTCGATAGACAAATTTCTTGATTTCGTAAATTCGATTAAGAGATAGAAGGAAATTGATGATGTGATCTATGTGTATGTCCAAAACCACAGATAATGTGTAGCTGGCCACTCGTATTCGAGGATACCCGTCTGCTCAGGCGTATTCAACACCCGCAGAGCCTGGTTTATACTGCAACTATGCTGAGCAGACCTTAGTTACAATTTCTGGGAGAGAGCTTGTTATCTAGCGTGGTCAACAATTTATACAACGCCCTCGGCCACGATGACTTGTGGCTTCGTGCTAGCACAGCTATCGACGGTCTACAAGTGTTCCATCCATCTATCCAATTTCACTCAAAAGGCTTGGGTCAATCGGTGTTATGGTTTCCGGGCACTTTCTAAAAGTGCCGCACGCTGAGATCGACCCCTCCAGGAAGTCTTCTTTCTAACAAATTGACCATGGTAAGATTCGAACCCGAGTCTCATGGTTAGAATGCGAACGTTCTAACCACTCGGCCATGTGCCCGCAGATAATAGGTAAAAATAATATTACAAATGAAGAATCACTCGATTTCGTATTTTGGATCGCTCAAAAATTGGTTAGATAAAGGGTTATTGATTTTATCACCAGTAAACAAACCATACTGAAGTAATTGCACAAAATATGGCTACATATATGAAACTCTCAGTGAGGATCCAAGTCACTAATTTATTATCCGATCGAACTAGATTAAACATTCATGAGTCTATCACACCAACCATCACGGTGTCTGGATGAAGATCGGATGGTCATTAAGGTGTCATCCTGTGTCATTCATTACGTAGTTGGTCAATGTAGATGGTTGCCGGTCGACCAACCCATCTTGAGCCATAGTTAGGTACCCAGATCAATAAATCACTAGCAAATTCTTGTTTTTGCCAGCCATCTTCCTATAATTTCTCCATTATATGTGGCGTTAAAGAGTTGAAGCAAAATATCGTTGGAATTCTGGTTCTTCCAAACCTCTGGAGGAATGGTATCAAATCTCGCTGGTTTTTTTTTTTTGTTTTTTTTTTTTTTTGGTGTTTTTCAACACCCCTTCAAGTTCTGCAGTTTCCAAGTTTAATGTCAAGAGCATCTTCAAATATTTGTTTGATCTCAATATCTAAAATGTCAGGTACATTTCCAAGAGATTTTTAAAATAGTCATTCACCCTGATTATTGATTCTTTTCACTTGCGAAAGGCATGAATCCATCTCTTTTCCCCCAGCTATGGGTCGAATAGCAAGACAGACTGGTTTCTTTAGCCTTGGTGCGGAACCTGTCTACCACCGAAAGAAATGACAACCTACTGCAGGAAAAAAAAATTCTGCCTCGCCAGTCATGTATCGAAAGAGACATGATCGCCCGTGTATCACGTATGGCACTTAACTGACTGATTGGCATTTAAATTGGATTTATTTGATGATTTTCTGCCACTGATCTCGTCGACACTTTTCCAAGCAAGAGCAGATTGTTTGTTGACAGAGGCGGAGTTTATGAGTCGATTTTTTTTTTCTGGATTTATTCAGCAAGCATTCTTGAGTTGAGCAAGCGCCTCGTTGAAGTCTTAGATTTAAGAGAGGGTTCTGAATTTCTTATGTCAAATATCTTTCACATTACTCCTTTAGGATTCAATGCTATTTGCTTCCCAAAGAATGTATTGCTGATGTTTAAGTTTTAAGGGTAAGACATCTGCAGCATTATTTTCATGAGAAGTAACAAAATTATTCTAGGTTATCTCAGGAAAAGGTTTCTCTGCATTTGTTTGCAGTGTCTCAAAGTGTCATTGAGATGATTGTTCGTTGTCAGTCATATGGTGGAAAGGCAGACTGCTTTTTCTTATTGGCTCTAAGATGGTGGAAGAAAGAATTCGATAGTCTGAAAACACTCCTCCAAATGTGTTGAAATTCTTATTTATCAGGATATGATCTAATTGGGTCTTTGTTTCATTGGCGAACGTGAATTGCTTAGAGCTCTTCACCGCGACTATAGAGTCCCATCTACTCCTGACTGTAACAGGTTGTACCAGACTACAGCTTACGGGTAGCAGGAATCCAAGAAAAACGATATTATCTATTAAGTTGTGACTTAGTATAAGTTCGATTTAGTGTTCAAACCCCTCTTTGGAGTGGTTTGTAACACATCTATATATCATCTCTCAGTTGCATCTCTGTCTTTGAGCAGAGTGCACTCAGGGGCGACTCTGTCTTTTGACAGAGTCGCAACTGGAAAAATTATACTGAGAGGTGTCCAGCCCTGGGAAACGGCTGCTCGAGGCCGCACCCTCTCATTGCACCAGAGAGAATGATCAGTGCTCGCACCGAGGCCAGCGCAACCGACGGTTGCGGGAGCTGCGGGCAATTTTTGTCCCTTGCCCGGGTGTCCGCGCTTAAAAAAAAAACCTTGTATCGCAACTTGTCTTAGTGGGGAAACAGAGTAAATACCTAATACAAGTTCGATTTTCCCCTACAAAGTTTATCCCAGGTAGATATGGATTATACGTAGACAAAAAATTATACAGATTCGAGGGGGTGATAAAATTGTAAATTTTACAGATTAAAAGCAAACATAAAAGTGTCAGATACCTCTGCGAGCCTTTAGATAAAATCCTGGTTCAGCATTTCAACTTAAGTATCGTTTTAGCATATCGTCCCAGAGAACTTATTTTCAAAATACTTAAGGTCCGATGTGCCAGGATCTGTGCAGTTCGCTAGTTTCTTTTACTTTTTTCTAATATTCTTCCACTTTTAATTTGAATTTTGGAGACAGGGGTGTTAAGCAATAGGCTCCTCTTCCTTCCTCAGTAGAGGAACAGATAAAAATTGGACAATTTATATATTAAAATAAAACTGTATATATAAAAATCTCTATGTGTGTGTGTGTGTGTGTGTGTGTGTGTGTGTGTGTGTGTGTGTGTGTGTGTGTGTGTTTTTAAATGCACGGCCGCAATTTTCGACGGGTTTGCACCAAAATTTACATGCACATGCTCCAAGTTAGCGGGAAGGCCAAGATTGACCTTGCATTTCCCAACTTCCATCGATAGTGGAAATAATCGATTTTTTCATGCTTCTACGGCAGTTTTCGTGTAATTTTCGGCCATTTTGTACTGGCCAGAGGAGAGCCAACAGCCACTGACTGACACGAATGTTAACTAGCATGCTAGCATGCAAAAAAAATCGATAGCTGCATTCGTCACAAGATGGAAAAATTTAAATCTGCATGACACTTTACTCCAATTGGCTCATTTGCTTGCTTAAACTCAACGTTGATTCTGATTCCGCAGAACTGGGTTGGGTGTGAAAAAGTATTTGATGTTAACATTCTTTTTTCATTCGGTTTTTCCAGTTATGAATCCTTTTTTAAAGCTGATCGTTTTGTGTTCATTTTGTTTAGTTCTTTTTTCGTAACAGATTTAATGTTTAGTATAGAGCTTAGAAAAAATTCGCAGTGTGAGATAGGCAAGAAGTAAGGCATGTAGTAACATCAGCACGGCAAAGGGCACTTCTTTAAAGGCAAGGAAAGGCAAAAATATTTTAAGTCAAGTGATAGCGATTGCTGTATGAGTCGTCCGATTTTTGAATCAAGCACGGGCAACGCCATGCTGCTAGTTAAAAATAAATGCTGCCATGCTGCTAGTTAAAAATAAATGTAAAAGTGTCAATTACATACGAGAGCCTCAAGCTCACTACTCAGCAGCAATAACTTACGAGACAGGCTCATTAACCATTGCCTCATGGCAAGGCAATCTTAGTTACTAACCATAACTTAGTTTTGCACAAAGCGAATAATTCAGGGCATCCAACTCACTATCAATGATCTACAAGATCATTGTACACAGCTACAAAGCGTGTTATCATGTATAGAAACTATTTCACTTGATGACTATTGTTACATGTGTGGGCTTCCTTACTTTGCTCGAATCAGCAGCAGCAACAGCGGAATTAATCAGCAGGGTGCAACCAGAAGCTCCAGAACCCATAAAAATACTGACCAGGCCCTATTCAGCCTCTTTCCCACTGTTCCATTTCAGCGACCTCTACCTTCAAGCCCACTCTTTTCCACTTTTCCTTTACAGCGGGCTCTACCTTCAAGCCTAGCTCGAATGGCTACTCAACCCCTAATGCACAGGACGAGACCTCCCCTAGCAGCTTAACTCTCGTTCCTCCCGTGTGAGCCGGCGGAGACCTCCCTTCGAGACACCTACCCAAAGGAAAAACTACACATAACCCTTGCGACAGAAGACTCGTACCAGTCCGAGCAGTTTCACACAGAGATTTATCCCGTGGAACAAGCGGAGAAATCTCTCTCTACAAAACATTTACTCAATAACTTTGTTAACTAGGAAATCCCATCCTTTCCCGCAAATTACAACTATTTTGCACTCTCTTTCAATCACAAAATAAAAGCTGTTAAACAGTTATTTCGAGTCTTGGCTTTTGTTCCACTCTCACTGCCGAGCACGTACACACAAACAACCGAAAACAAATCCTTACACTTGATAATTAATTTACTGTCAAAAATGATTTTCTCATTACGCTTTTCTTCAGTTTAGCAAACATCAAATTTAATGAGTGAAAATTTAATGTAGTTAATTAACCTATCATTATTCCAGATACAAATGAAGAGTTTTTACGTCAAGGACCATCTCCACTGGCTAGAGAATTGTCTCTCGAACCGCCAGACCATTCGTACATGTGTCTCCGGCTATCTCTTTTCAATGCTGTGAGCTTTCTCTTCTTCCTTTATCGCTCTCCATCCTCCCAAGACTGCGGAATAATCGATAGCATTTCTGACAGTATAGACAAGCTCTCTCTCTCTCTCTCTCTCTCTCTCTCTCTCTCTCTCTCTCTCTCTCTCATATATATTAGTGTTTGGCGATTTTAACGCCCATCATACCAAGTGCCTTAAGAATGCTACTACTGGCCTTGCAGGCATTCAAATACTTAATTTTTCAGTTTCTCAATCCCTCACGCAGATAGTTGACTTCCCCACGCGTTTTGCCTACAACCGGGAAGGTAAGGCCTCTCTTCTCGATCTGTGTTTTACCTCCATCCTCGAGTCTTGTAGCGCCACGCAGCTCTACCCTCTTGGTTACTCTGATCATGCTGTAGTGTCTGTCAACACCCTGCAAAGAACCTCCTACCACTAGAACCTCGTTCTGCTATCAAACGAGCTGACTGGGACTCGTTCCGTGATTTCCTCCGCAATGTCCCCTGGGATGTTGTCTTTACACTCCCCGTTCAATAATGTGTCTACTCCTGGGTTAAAGCTGGAATCGACGCTTTCACCCCCTCAAGGAAATTTAAGGTCAAATCGCGTTCCTCCCCTCGGTTCTCCGCTTTTTGCTCAGCCGCCATTGCCCATAGGAACCACTTCTTCCACCTATTTCGTAGCGACATGTCCGACTGCAATAAACGTCTCTTTGCCTCTGCCCGTAACGAGTGTAAGCGTGTCCTCAATGAAGCTAAGTCACTATTTGCTGCTCGAATGAAGGAACGTATTGCATCTTGCAAATTCGGCTCCAAGGATTATTGGCGTCTCTGCAATAGCGTACTTAACAATAGCAAACCTTCTATACCTCCTTTGTTCAACCAGTTTGAGGTCCTGACCTCTTCTGCCGATAAGGCTGAATGCTTTGCTCGGAAATTTTCATTCAATTCAACGCTCGACTCTTCCGGTGTACCCATACCCGATTTCCCTCTTAGAACTGAGGCCCTATTGAGCAGGTTGCACATAACCCCGTCATTGGTATTGGGCATTATCTCTAATTTAGACCCCCACAAGGCTAGTGGTGGAGATGGGATACCAGCCATTGTCCTGAAGAAATGTGCGCCTGAACTGGCGCCTGTCCTTTCCAAATTGTACAACAACTGCCTCAATGAATCTTGTTTTCCAGACTGCTGGAAGTCCTCATCCATTGTCCCCGTCTTTAAGAACTCTGGCGACCCCTCTGACCCTTCTAATTACCGTCCTATCAGTTTCCTACCCATCTTCGGCAAAGTCTTCGAAGCCCTAATCAACGCCGAAGTGGTTAACCATCTTACATCCCATGATCTGCTCTCAGACAAGAATATGGTTTCCGCTTTGACCGATCTACAGCTGATGTCCTTACGTTATATGATGTGCTTACGGCCATCACTGAAATTGTCTACCATGCTCTTCAAAATGCCCTAGACACAAGCTCTAGGTCCCACTCTGTTCCTTATCTTCATCAACGATCTTCTTGACGCCATAGATTCCAAAGTAGGTATCTACGCGGACGACACTACAATTTACTCCTGCCTCAAAGACAAATCTAGTGTCGCTGGCAAAACTAACCCGGTCGTTCGTCTCGAAAAGGACCTCCAATCGATTGGAATTGGCTGGTTAACTTTAACGCCTCAAAAACAAAACTGCTCTCTATTAATCACCACAGAGATTCTGCTCGGTCTCGTTGACTGCTGACCTGAGATGGAACAAATACATTGAGTCAATTGCTTCGTCCACCGCAAGGAAAGTTGGCTCGCCGTGCAGCGCCAGCAAATTTTTCTCGCATATATTCCGTCGATCTTTCCAATCTACAAATCAACCATTTACCCTTGCATGGAGTATTGCTGCCATATATGGTCTGGAGCCGCTTCTGTTTACCTCGGGGTTCTTGATAAGATTCAGAGACGGATATGCAACGTAATTGGCCCTGATCTGGCATCTCGTCTGCAGTCGCACTCTCACAGACGTGCCGTCGCCTCTCTGTCCTTTTCACAAATACTTTCATGGTAACTGCTCCGATGATCTGCCTGCGCTGGTTCCCAGATTTCATGAATTTAAGCGTCCTACGAGGCTGGTATCCCGCTCTCACCCTTTCACTGTTGAAACTGTTAAATGTAGCCGTCTCTTCTACTCCAAAAGCTTCATATCTCGCACCTCTCGCCTGTGGAACTCCCTACCCTATTCCTGTTTCCCTGATAGCTATAATCTCCAACTATTCAAGTGTAATGTCAATCGACATCTCCAATTGCCTTGATCTCTCCACTATCCTTCTCCTCATCCTCTCCTCTATCATTACTATCTACTCTTGCTCCAATTCCTCTGTAAACCCTTGTGTGCTAGTAGCTTCCCACCTTACTTGGGGTGAAATGCTTTAAAAAATCTTTATTCGTTTATTTTTTTATCCCGAATCAGTCGTTGTTTAAAAATAAAAATGTGAATGCTTTTATATGCACCTGCCTATACTTCTTAGATGTGTTATTGTAACTCTTTACACAATTTGCATTGTTCAAACTGTTTTTCACATCCTTATTGCCATATTAACGACGTTTCGGCCGTTGTACGCTCCGGCCTTCCAGCAAATATTACCTGAAGCAGACCGGGGCGTACATCAGTTGAAACGTCGTGAATATGACAATAAAGTTGAGGACAACAGTAAATATGAGGACAATATGTAAATAGCGAAAATAGCGTTCTTGTTTCATTTTTAAGATGCAATATTCTTGCAAGCATACTGAATTCTTTTTGCTGCTTGGCGATGTCTGGAATACAATTAAAGAAATGAATGAGTCTTGATTATCTCGGGGTAGAAACGAAACTGTCCTTCATGAAATGTTTCTAAACACAATTTATAATGATTTATCAGTTGATGGATAACAAAGATTTGAAAGATTAAAATCAGATTAAAGAGTTAAAACGAATAGCAATGTTTTAGCTAACAGAAGGGAAAGTGTTTTTACAATTAATTCTGCAAGTGTACATTAATGTGTCAAATAATCCATTACTGACATTTTTAAATAATGATTTTTCTCTTTATTCCATTTTATCAAATCTATTAACCACATTTCTCTATTCTCAATTCGATCCTATTTATAAAACAGCGATTTTTTTTCATATTCTTTTTGTAAAATAATAGTTTTTGTTCTGTTCTTGAATCTGTTACGAGACACATCCATCAGATACTTTCTTAGTTTCATTCAACCAAATGCGAGAAGCAGGATGAGCAAATATTCATTACGCCAATTACCAAATCGGTATGGCTCTGCTTGCCTTGAAAATCAACATTCGGCTTTGCTTTCTGTCGGCAAGACGCGTTGGTCAGCTATCAATCAGTCCTGCAGACGGGGTATAATGGTTAGTAAGCTCATCTCGGTAGATCAGTTACGACTGAATAGTGAGTTCGACCCTCACTGAGTGCTCCATTCTTTCAGCCTTGTGCCACATTTAAGCTATGCTTAAAAAATAACCGTGCACTTTGACGTGGTGCAATGGTTAGCAGGTTTATCTCGCTAGTTCAATTACAACTGAATAGTGAGTTCGACCCTCACTGAGTGATCCATACTTTTGGCCTTGTGCCACAACTAACCTGCGCTTGGAAAATCACTATTTTGGTCTTGTGCCATATGAAATGTAATATTTTAAAATAAACAGTCCTGCATTAGTCACTGCTGTTTTTGATTTATTTTGTTAAATTGCCTCTCTCTCTCTCTCTCTCTATCTCTCTCTATCTCTCTCTCAATCTCTCTCTCTCTCTCTCTCTCTCATTTTTTTCAGGACGCTTTAATTAGTTCTAATTAGTAAATTATATCTCTCTTCAGCTGAATTCGGACTCGAATTGTTTTTCTTTACACTATGTACTTGAATGTGAATATTAACGTGAACGGGTTTTAGTTGCAGAGCGGGAATTGAAATATTACCATTGGTTTGAAAGACTTGGATTTGTAACCCCGCTCGCCGATTTCGTAACCTTGTCGCTAGGCTCCGCCACTCCAAATCTAAAACTGTTATCTTCGCCCCACATACTTTTATCTCATAATCAAATTTTAGGTAAATCCTTTACCTATGTAGAACGAGGTGTCATTAAATACTAATTATTGCCTCACAGTCGGTGGGTGTGGGGGGGGGGGTTTAAACGGTAGTGTCAGAGCTATGCCGCCCGGAACTTCGTTCCTGGTAAGGCCACCAAGGCGGACAGGTCTGACACACACGCCGGCTAACAAGGGCTCTGGTGAAAATCCAAGGAGCGTCTGCATCGGCAAACGGCGGCTTCTGGTCGTTCCTGTCTCTGCGTCTGTGGGAACCCCGCGGCAAGCAAGAACGTTATCCGAGTAGGCCTGGGTACCCTACTTCTGTAATTTATCCCAAGAATCTTCTTCTCATAACAGGAAGAAGCCGGCTCAATCCGCCCAGGGTGAATGCCGCATCAGTACAGTACAGTAGTAATTATTGCTTAGTTTTGCCACACGATCTCGGAAATATAGCACACAGTGAGTATCGAACTCACTTCTCAGTAGGAAAGATATACATAGATCTATTGCTTTACACTAAGACATCCTATTTATTAATCAAAGGGAGCATGTGAAGATCGTGTACTGAATGCTCACATGGTTGTGACCTTGTGACGGACTAAGCTATTATTCCGCGAAGAAGGACTTGAAATCAACGATTCCAAAACAGAAATGATCTGCAATTGGAATGAGAGTAGTGAAGATACATGCCCTGAAGCCATCATCAAAATTCAGAATCGATCCTTCAGATCTACAAATCAATAATTCGCCCTTGCATGGAGTATTGCTGCCATATATGGTCTGGAGCCCCTTCTGTTTGCCTCGGGGTTCTTGATAAGCTCCAGAGGCGGATATGCAATATAATTGGCCCTGTTCTGGCATCTCGTCTGCAGTCGCTCTCTCATAGACGTGCCGTCGACTCTCTCTGTCTTTTTTACAAATACTTTCATGGTAATTGCTCCGAGTAGCTGCATTCGCTGGTTCCCAGACTTCATGAGTTCAAGCGCCCTACGAGACTGGCATCCCGCTCTCACCCTTTCACTGTCGAAACTATTAAATGTAGCCGTCTCTTATGCTCTAATAGCTTCATATCTCGTACCTCTCGCCTGTGAAACTCCCTTCCCTATTCCAGTTTCCCTGATAGCTATAATCTCCAACTATTCAAATGTAATGTCAATCGACATCTCCAGATGCCTTGATCTATCCCCTATCCTTCTCTTCATCCTTTCCTCTATTACTCCTATTTGCTTTAGCTCCAACTCTCTGTAACCCCTTGCGTGCTAGTGGCTTCCCGCCTTGCTTGGGGGAAACGCTTAAAAAAACAATTTCTTCATTTGTTTAGTCATATAACGTAAAGCCACGCTTTGTTATTAATTGAATGTGACCGACTGACATCGTGATTTAATGGAAATGGCGTTTGTACGATATTTTTTATAATATTTCTTTCTTATTTGTTTAGAATGTCTGTATACACGCTGAACAAATCATCCCTAAGATTATTTGCGTTACTGTCTGAAATGGTAAAAAGTGGCGTCACATTAACGAATTAACTAAGAAACTAAGCAAGTTCTAATCAACTCCGTATTGATCAAGCAGCTCATCTCAAACGATCTTCTTTCAGACAAACCTTATTATGGCTTTCACTTCTCTAAAACAATTTCTGATGCATTATATATGATCTGGTGCTTCTGCTATGTATTTAGAAATTCTTGGTAAAACCCAATGAAGAATCTAAAATGTTCTAGAATCTAGAATTCAGTCACTATCCTACCGTCATATGTGCCTTTTCTATAAATATTTTCATGGTAATTGCTTTGATGGGCTTTCATCTTTCGTACAATATATTAGCAGCTAGGTCTCATCATTTTACAGATAAAAAGGCTGCATGTAAACATAACTTCTATGGTAACAGTTTCTTCTATCGCACTTTACACTTATGGAACTCTTTTCCGGATTCTTGCTTTCCAGTAAATTTTATCTTAAAAATTTAAATGCAATGTCAAAGGTTATCTTCTGTCTCCTTAATACCTGTTCTTTTATTGGCCTTTCTCTTTAATATTTTTTTACATTTTTTTATCTTATATTCTTTCACACTCAAACCTCTTGTGTGTTAATGGGTTTATCGCCGTTCTTCGGATGAAATGATTACAAAAATAATTGATTAGACATGACAGGGAAATGAGAATAGTCTACTCTCGCAGATTAAATAAAGGATTAGTTTTCTCTCTGTCTTTTCTACAAATATTTCAATGGCAACTGTTCTGACGAGCTACTTACACTAGTGCCTCATCTTCATGAGTTTAAGCGTACTACTAGGTTGGTATTTCGATCCCACCCTTTCACTGTGGAAACAGTTAAATTTAACCGCCTCTTCTACTCCAACGGCTTCTTCTCTCGCACTTCCCACCAATAGAACTCCCTTCCTCCTACAGGCTTCCTTGATATCTATAATCTTCAAATATTCAATTGTAATTAAATTTTAAATGTCATAATTTAAAGATCTTAACTAAGTCAGATACAAGGTTGTAACCGTGAAGCACTCACTCACGACTGAACATAAGAATGAGCTGCAAAGACGTGTTTGCTAAACAAGCTTTAGTATTAAATCAAAATTTTTTATTGACGTTTGCGAATAAAAATATGCATATTTTTTTACTCTCATTTTTTATGGTCACAATTCCCCTGTTTTGTTAAGACTTGTTAAGAAAATCTTTTCAATGTTTATTTGAACTTCAAAAGTCTGGTACTTGTAATTCCATCAACGAAATATTTTCCATTTAATCTACAGATAAATCTTAAAGGGACATGACAAAAAAGTTTTCCATTTTTTATAAAACTCAAGACGACATTCCATCGCTAAATACAAAATCAATTTACTCAAAATAAATTTCTCATACTAAAGCAAGCCTGCTAAAGATTGCCTTTATGAATTCAAACACAAATGATTTCAGATATCTTTAAGTGTTTTGCAGTTGAGATGACAAATCTCTCTCTCTCTCTCCCTCTCTATCTCTTGATCTCCCTATATATATATATATATATATATATATATATATATATATATATATATATATATATATATATTGTTTATTTAAGTAGAAATCTATCTTTCATTTATACATGTTTCATTAAAGACGACAGACAAGCTATTACGATTAAGCTTTTTATTTATTT